GTGAGTGAAAATGAGGTGAAGATGATTCTTCAGTGAAATTATCGCACAGATTAATTTTAGCCACTGTTAACATCTGTTTAGTTCCTGATCTTTGATCTGTTGATGCCGTTAGTTGTTGCCGTTTTCGTAACAGCATTTTCAATATTCATTAAATTGATGGCAAAAGAAAAAAAACATTCAAAGAAAGTAAATATTCAAAGATCTATTGACAATATTTATAACTACTTATAAATATATGTATGCATATTTTTGTGTTCCCTGTAAACTCCAGTGAAGACAAAAAGAACTAAAGAAATTTTGCTTAATTTGGTCGAATGAAAGTCAAAACAATACAAATGGTGGGGAAACAAAATTTCATACGCATTTGAATGTAATGTCCTTGGTTATGAATTTGTCCTTTTCATCAGCATACATCATGCATGATGAGTTTTTCTTTTTGGAGCTATTTTAAAAGAGCTTACCGCTTCAGATGGTTTTATATTATGGAACAAGAAAAAAAATTTTTTTTTGCTTAATAGGCGTAAAGACTTGTAAAATAACTTTTCTGAAATAAGAAACAAAAGGAAAAAGTTGAAAAAGAAAATTTATTTTTCAAAGAAGCCCTAAAGAGAAAGCTCAAAGTGGGGGAGTGGAGGTGACAGACCGAAAGTTAGGCTTTAAGTGCTTTTGAAACCCACTCGATTATCATAAGCATTTTAATTTTTCCTGTTTCTTCGTGACAGCTTTATTTGTTGAGAAGAGAAAAACAACTTTTTTAAGGTAAATTATATCCCGAAATAGCTCGTCTACAAGCAATTGATAAAGACTGTGGTGATCCTTATGGACTTATTTGTAGCTATGAAATCTCAAATGCTCTCGATGCTTTTCCATTTGCTATCGACGAACAGGTGTTTTATCAATGTTTTGTTTGTCCAGCTGATATTCTGCAAAATTTTTGTGTTATTCTTTCAAAGAAAAGTGCAAAAGGCCACAATGGATGAAACCGTTTCTATAAATTATTTCACAACTATATTCTACTATCTTAGGGTGTCTTGAGGAACACACAACCACTAAACTTTACGAAAGCAAAATCCTATATTTTGACTATTGTCGCCCATGACTGTGGAATGAGGCAATCCAAGTCAGCTTTGGTGACCGTAAATGTACGTGAAGCATGCATAAGCGGTCTACACAAAGTACCAGAGAGTGTCGATTATAAAGTGCAAGCGAAAAGTGTTAAAATTCTACCAGATGTCCAAGTGAAGACATGCAAAGCAGATTTTGATGCACCAATTAAGAGTATCACAAGTACAATCAGTTTACACAGTTCACATTTGGCTGATGGATGCGATAAAGAAGATATTAGACCGTCGCATACATTGACCAGGTTTTTACCTTTCTTCCTTCTGTTTTTCTAATGATTAGGTGGTCAGGTTTCTATAAAAGAAATCAAGAAACTGATCGACTTTTTTTGCTTTAGATGTGATGCCAATGCTGATGCAGTATCTTTGCTTCCGGAACCAGACGATGAAGATCCAACAGAAAAAGCAGTGGCGACAGAAAAATATGAATTTGATGGTAAAACAAATGCATTGATTGTTGCTGCAGATAAGGTTGACCGATTAGTGCCGGAAACATTTACAATCCTATTTGCAATGAAACATACAAAAAGTAACAAAAGTGAACATAACATCAAAGAGAATATTCTTTGTGAAAGCGATGAAAAAGGTAATTGCAATATTACTTTTTTTTCTTTTGTTTATCAATGATAAATTATAGCTTTTTTAAAGAATTTCTGGCTTTTATTTATCTGTTACATCAGTAAATTTTTTTAAAGGTATGAATCGACATCATTTTGCTGTTTATACTCGACACTGTAAATTGGAAATGTTGATGAGACGTGAAAGTAATGCTGAAGCAGCTTTCCGAGCTGCGGAATGGAGGTGGAACGTTCCAGAAGTATGCGACGGTCAATGGCATAACTATGCAATTCTATTCTCCAACGTTGATCAGGTATCTGACAGTGAATGATGCGCTAACTAAAATGTCTTTTAGTGACATCTAACTAAGACCCATTCTGCATTTAGTTTTGCCAAAATTTATATATTATTATAGTGGCTTTGAAGGTACTCACTGACGACAAAAAGATGTCTAATTAATAGTGACATATTGTCGATTTTACTTTAATGCCTTCAGAAATGCCTTTAGTATTTAAAAAACAAAAAAAGGCAGCTTGATTAAATCAAATCGATCCAGTCTTGAAGAGTAGTATACGGTAGAAGGGGCAAGTAATTTATATACAAAATCTTAATATTTTTCAGGTGGATCTGTACATCGATAACAAAAAATTTGTTTCAACCGGTGACAATCCAGAAATATTGGATGACTGGCCATTACATAAAAGTAAAAATAAGGTAATGATTACACCTATGCGCCATAAACTTATTGTTTCTTTTTTTTTGGATGTTTTTTGAACGATAAGTTTTTGTTTTTTAAGGTGCCTATTGTAAATGTAACAAGCGAATGAAATTTCAGAAAACACGTTTGGTTGTTGGAGCTTGCTGGCACGGAAGAAACCAGACAATGACACAGTATTATAGAGGACACCTATCATACATACTGTATGTCGCCGGAAAAGTTGAGCAACCCCAAACTCTGCTTTGTGCTAATCAATGTCGAGAGCAGCTGAAATTTGAGGCTATGGATCAGTTGGTACCGGGCGAGGTTAGATTTTCAACAGGACTGAACTTAGCGTTGACAAAAGAACCAAAGAAGTTTTTTTTTTAGTTTGAAAAATACAAAACTAGTGTGGTTACTAGTTAAAAGGTTGTCAGCTTCTATTTGATATCGTTGCGACGCATCTTTGTGCTTTTTGCAGGAAGCTATTTTTGAGAACGATTCTTCAGTTCTTACGCTGAAGGCAAATACCGCTGAAGATTTGTCACTCTTGCTTCAGAAGGTCTACTACGTAAATTCGATTAAATCACCAACACCAGGACATCGTAGCTTTGATGTTGTTACTACTGTTCAGTGTGTCAACAATAAAACTGTATGTGGTTATTATGAATTTAGATTTTAGACCAAAACGTAAAGTTGGTTCAGTGTTGATGTCGAAATAAACTGGAACTCCTGACACAGAAGTATACTATTTTTTGTTTACTCTTTACAGATAGAGTTGAAATCAGCAAAAGGTTACATTTTTGTGAAGAAGGAAGCCGACCCTGTGCTGTCGATCAGCGGTGTTTCTGTTGTCGATAGCGATCAACATCTCGTAAAAACTGGAGCCCCAATGCTCGCTGATATTAAAATTACAGTCACCCAAACCATTGATGATGGTCTGTTTTGTCCTTTTTCATATAATTTACATAAATAAACAAAAAAATGCTTAAAATATTCTGATTCATTTCTTCTGTTACTTGACCGTTCTTGAAGCGGAAAAAAAAACTGGATCTAGACTTAGAAAGAATGGTATTATTGGGTTTCGTACTGAATACATCTTGAAGAATAGCAAAAATAACCCTTTTAACAATAACGAAAGAACTAATTAGTACAGATGCAAATGTGACATTTTGTAACAAGATATATTCTTGTCAAATGAAAAGTAAAACAGTAGCGCAAAGAACATAGATGGGTTGAACGAAATGCACACAAAAACACTGAAAAAAATATTTTTTTTCAAAAATTTTGATGTTGATGTTCTGTGCCAAAGCTGACATTCTTTTCCTTAACATAGAGTCGCTGATGAATGTTTAATCTTTGGCAAAATGTTCATTCTTCATTAAGCATGATGTTTTCTGCGCAAAAAAACTTCATGATGGGTTGAGTGTTGTTCATGGATTTATTCCAGCGTTTTTGTGGAGTCACAAATTGACGACTTATGAGGCGTAAGAAAAAATTTGTTCTTTTTTTTTTCGCTTTTTGTTTCTTTTATTTATATGTTTTGCATTGTTGTTCAAGCAGGAAAAAAGGGATTAAAGAGACTTTTGATGAGCTATGGCATTGCAGAATAAATTTTACAACAACTAGCTTATGCGAGAAAGAGACAAAAAAAGTGAGGTTAGGCTAAGGAGTGATGAAAAAAAGAGGGACTGAAAAACAGAGGAATGTAGAGGCACACTGATGTTAAGGAAAAAATGTTGTTTTTTCCACATTGAACTTGCAAAAAGCAAAGATAATCCGTCATCACTTTAGCTTTGCTGTTTTATTATTGTCTTCAAAAGAAGATGTTTATGACAATTAGGATACATAAGTAACCATCTAGCTTTGATGGTTTTTTTTTTTTGTTGATTTGCTATGCACTTCATCAAAATTAACACTGTCTGTTGGAATAAAAAGATGAAACTGTTCAGAAGAAGTGGAAAAAACCAGTGAAACATATTTGGATTGGTGCAAAGTACATTTGAAGCCGTCTCGAGACATTGATCTTGAATACTTTTCATCTCCCGCCTCGTTAATCGCCTCATTACATATCGATTTTGAGCACGATAAACAAGTAAGCTGATTTTTTTGTTTCTGAACATTTAGAACACAAAAAGATTCATTCCGGATATGTTGATGCTAAACTGATGATCTCTGACCAGTTGCCCCAATTGCTCCATCTCTTTTTTGCTAATATTTCACCGGCAACTGTCAAAAGCAATCAAATGAAAAAGTTGGCTGGTTGTTCAATTTTTCCCAGCAAGTATCGCCACTTAATTTGCTTCGGCTATTGACTAAGTTCTGAGCGAAAATTTTATTTCTAGGGTATTTTATTGAAAGGATTGGAGAAGGTGAAAGGATACCGTGAAATATTGTCGAAAATCCATTACTTTAACACCCGGGCCGATTCATTTTCGAAGAGGATTTATGGCGTGCAATGTGCAATGAATGGTGGCAGAATACTGAGCAACGAACTGCTTGTTACCGTATGCATTGCTGATAATTAAACAGAAAATAGGCTTTATTATCATTTCAACTTTATTATAGTTTATGATTTCGACAACTAACATACTGTTATTAATTATATAACTGGTCAACAGAACAATAGACATATGTATTTCAGATGAATATTGAAGCTGCAAAACCTTCGGAAACTCAACTGGAAGAAGTAATAGAGCCAGTAGATCCACAGTTTGATCCTGTTCTGGGTCATTTTGGTGGAAATCGTTTACAGAACATCCTTGAATTGGATATGCCTCGGTCTAGTGCATTTATCTCACAACAGTACGACGGTAGCCAAGGAGCAGTAGCAGGTAATTTGCATCAGAAAAGACGCTTTATGCTTACACTTCGGAAGAGATTCTTACAACGAATAGTAGCTGTAGTAATTGTGTTATTACTACTGAGTAACTTCTGCCTTGTCATAGTTGACTTTGTTACAGGCGGTGCAGTAGCTGTAGTTATTGTGGTCTGCGTGGGATTTTTGCTTGTACTACTTGTAATCGGGGTACTTAAGATGCGTGAAGGCCCGTATTCAGAACGTCGCCGCAATAGGAAAAACACTGTATGTTCGTAAAATATCTCCTTGGTAGAAGCATTATATTTCTTTTTATTTCGGCGGTATTCTTTGTCGAAATGTGATGTAGTCTTTTACTGAACACTACAGTGGATTTTAACTTACCTAAACTTACATAGCTAATAACCGTTCTCGAGTTACAGGAAGGAGGTATGGAATGGGATGATAGCGGTATGAATATCACGGTCAATCCGCTGGATGAAGTTGGCAAGAATGCAATCGGTTATACAAATGAAGAGGAAAGTTCCGATGAAGCTGAAAGGTACAGCAGAAAGATTCAACTTTTAAAAATGAATCTTCATAGAGACAAATGTTATTGCACAGAACATCTTGGTTAATTAAAATACAGTATTGTCATTAATGTTCAAGGAAAATCGAAAGATTCACATATTCGGATTTCAATTTGTCTTTCACTTTCAGTTTTCGTGAGGATGAAATGAGCGAAGATGATGAAGAAGACGATGATGAACAAGTGCTACCACATGTTCAGATGAATGGTATCTAATTTTTTAATAATCTTAATGGTCTTTAGTTAAAATATAACAAGTAGTGGTTCCCGATGTCCCCTCTCCCAGGCACTTTGTCGTTATTCCTTGTTCCATACCGCCCTTCGTTCACGTTTTCCGACCGTGTGAAAATCAAAATCAGAAACTTTCGTTCCAGTGTTTAATTGAAAAAAATACGATTAAATTGCATCTAATTTTTATGAATATTGCAGCTCGACCAAATGCAACTGGTTTGGAATGGGACGATACGACTCTCACAAATGTTACCCGTACATATAACGTTTAAAAACTGAAAGAAAATTTTTTATATTTAACCGCTGTTTTATTATTGTGTAGTAATTTTCTTCCCTCCCCCCATAAACTGTGAATGAGTGTCTATGTATGTGAGTGTCACGGATATGTCTATATTTCGACAAATATCTGCATTTTTGTGTGTACGTCTGTGTTTGTGTGTGTACCTCTGTGTAGTGAGTCTGTGTCCGTGTATCTGTGAGTGTGTGTTTGTTTGTTTGTGTGTGTGTGTGTCTGTGTGTGGTACAATTCCAATATTAAAATTTTGTTGCAAGTGAACTAAACTGTGCAAAAACACATTCCTGGATGTTTTTAAATTCCAAGTTTTGTTCTACAGAAAAAAAAAAAAAGAAAAAAAAACAAATAGCAGAGAAAAGGGAAAGAAAAAAAAACAAAAACGAAAAAATCAAAAAAAAACCTACAAAACAAAAAATTAAAATTTTTTTTTCGTATTTTTTTCTTTCAAAATATTATTTTGGAAACATATACCAAATAAAAGTGATACAGAGTACTTTTTTTCATCTTTTTTCTTGTTTTTTTTTTTTTTTTTT